GGATAACTAATGTGTTTAACTTTTACATTTGTAAAGCCTCAAATTGGGGGTTTCTCAAGTTTGAAAAATTAGGAATTCTCCTATAAGTGATCATATTCAAGAATTCATAGATAATATTATCCACCGGATAACCTATTTTTTATCCATCTCAAATATGGGTCGGGTCGGGTCGGATAATTTATCCATTTTTGACCCGCTCATATCCGATCCGACCCGCCCGTTTGCCACCCCTAGTCCCTGTCTGCAACATTGACTCACTGATTCGTAAGGATTATGTTCCCCTTATCTGTCAAGAATGTCATTAGGGTGACCACGTGGTCGCTCATGTTCCTCAGGATCATGAAAGAGCTACCAACCACTGGGAAGGATTTTCTTTTGTGTACATTTATCCCTTTACTCTTGGGGTTTCAACCTCTTCTCGATTTCATAATCTTAGATTTTTGCTGGTATTTTGATATCTGGCTAGTCCAAGTCGAGCCAAATGTATTGAGTTTGATAACATGTTTTTGATATCTAGCCAGACTGACTGAGTTGATTTTTTCCTTGAGCACCTTCTCAATCTATACATTTTGAAGCTGTTCAAGGGTGGCCTCGTCGCCATCGTTAGTCGTGGCACGAGGACTATAATGAATGCGGAAGAAGATTATGATAGGGGCTGGTTCGATCGGTTTGTAGAGGTTCATACGCGGGATTGGTGTCTTTCAAAGACGACCCTGTTTCAGAGAGATAGAATCATGATCATAAGGATATCTTTTCCAATTTCAATTATAACTTTAGTATACGTCTCCTGGTGCCATTATTCTTATGTTGCAGCTATTTTAGCGGCCCCAATGGAAGTGCCTAGTATCGGAGAGTGGGTCGAAAAGATTCTATCTTCCTGCAGGCACATCTTCGATGTATCAGTGTGTAGAGCTAGAGTCCATGGTAAATTTTCGTGAGTTTCCTGCCTTTTTTTATCGTTCATCATTCTTATACCTCTTTCCCCGTTTGCAGGCATTGATTTGAGGAAGGCGACTCACAAGTTCTAATTGGTCTTCCTGCCTCTATTGATTCTGCCCAAGAAACGATCAAGCATTTATCCGCTCTGAAGCAAAAAATAGTTTCTTCATCGTCTGCTTTGGTAAGTTCTGTTCCGGCCCTTCCTCGAAAGAGGACAAAGTCAAACTTTTGGATAGGATCAGACGATGTTCATAGTAGCCCCTGAGTTCATGTTCAAATCAAGTCCCCTCAAGGTGGAATTCCTATACTAGTTGAGGGTAAGGAGATGGAGTCCCCGAGTGAGGAGTCAACGAGAGATGAATTTCCTTTCACTGATCGCAAAAAAGGCATCACCAAATATGATCCCTCCAAGGTCCCTTTGTTTGCTCCTATGCCCCCTCTGGATTCTCAAATTCCTAATCTTCCTTTGATTGGCTCTTCGATCCATATTGGCATTCGTCATATAATGATCGCGATTCCGGATGAATCTAACCTTCTTGGCCGTGCGGAGGGGAATAGGGCACAGTTGAAGGAACTGATTGATCCCTTAGAGAGGGGGAGATTGAACAACCGATCTGGTATTGATATGTTAAATTATCTTCTTCACTACACCCTCCAAGAAGGACTTTTCACATTTTCATCCTTCATTTCTTGTAATGTTGCAATCATTTTATGAGTACAACCATATTTGTTTCTCCTTCAAGCCAACTTGATTTCCACCTAGATCCTAGACAAGTTTGAGCAAACTGAGGCAAATTTGAAGAGAGGTGTCATGACTTGGGAGTTAAAGTTTAAGGATGTGAAAGCGAATAAGGAGAATTATCATCTCCTGGCGGAATGGTCCAAGGGTGAGCTGCAGTCGTTGAGGAAGGAGCTCGAAATACAGGGTACGAGTTACACAACGAGGATTAAACACTTGGAGGCCGCTCTCCCTGAAAAAAGGCACATGTGAGTCATTTAATTGATGAGCATGCACAGTTGTCATATGATCTTGCTCGAGCCTAAGTGTGGGCATAATATCTTGAGCGGGTTCTTATATTATTGAAGGAGTCCACTAATGATCTTCAAGCTAAAGTGGAACAGTTGAGGAGCGAAAAGGACAAAGCGGTCCGAGATCTTGACTAGGCAGCCTTGCAGTCGGATCTTGCTCAGACCATTATCTTCCTTGAATCCAAGTTATTGACATTGAAGAATGTCCATGCCAGCATCCCAAATTTGAAGAAGGATATCGAGAAGTTAGAGAAGGCAGTGCCTGAGGCACGACAAACTTTGGATTTCCCTCACGTGAGAGGGTCCTCCAAAGGGTGGAGACTCCTCGAGTTTTTCGGAGAGAGGTACAGAGGAATGGACTGTTGAATCACGTCCAGGTCCTTCAACTCGTTGGGATGTATCATCCCTTTCCGGCCCAATACTTCAAGATCAGCAATCCTCTTTACTCTCGGCAGGGAGCTAGTGAAGATTTGGTACAACTGCACTGAACTAGAATCTATTGTTTTTTGGGATGTTATTCTCTTTATGAATGTTTCTTAATTGTCTTTTTGTTTTTCCGTTGCTTATTTTTTGGCCAATTAGATTTACAGGAACATGTTCCGTTTGATGTACTTGAATGGAACCTTTGTTATTAATGAAAAGTGTTGTTTGTCTTTTTGCGTCTCTTCGAGTAATTTTTGCGCCTTTTATGCGTTCGAAGCTTTGTTTTGGAACATCCTTTTATGGGACCTAGGATCCTGATATCGGAGACTGATCTTGATATTCAGTCACCCCAAAGCCATATTTTCACTTTCCCCAAAAGTTCCTTTTGCACATGCAAGCGCCACGTGTGGTTGAGTTATCTTTCCTTCTCGGCCATAGCGTAAATCTTAAGGAAACTCTTTAGAGGGAAGACGTGTCCTTTCTGATAGGCGTCTCTTCAGATTTATCATGTTAAAAGGTGACCTCCATCCAATGCTTGAGGCACGTGGCCATCGTCATGAGAATCGATATGTGCATCGATTCTCGAGGTAATGATGGCCACTTCTTATAAAAGAGGATGGGAGTGAACCAAATCTTATTTTACTTTATATATTCCTTCTTGTCTGGTCCTCCTTCTGCTTGCACTTTTTCCTGGTCTTCTGATCAATTTTGGAGAAGAAAACCCTTATCAAGCTTCCTCATTTTCTTTAGACACCCTAATGAATTTCGAAATTTGCAACCCTTTAGTGGAGAGACCTCTATCTTGACCAGTCACTGCTGCGCCTGAAAATGCCTCCGTTGTTGCGGATATGGCCATGGTGGAGGTGATGTCATCGTCGGTGAAGAAAAGGAGAAGTGAAAAAGTTTAGTTAGCCGACCAACCGGAGCAGACCATTTTGAATATTGTGCCAAAAGAGTTTAGGAAAGACAATGACTTTAACATTAGAGAGAAATGCAAAGTTTTGTAACAATTACTGGTTCTTCCTAACACAAATAGGGCCTCAAATATGAAGGTTGGTCATGGGCCTTTGGCACTTGTCTTTGAAGGATGATGTCCCTTTAATGTACTCTCCTAAGATCTACTGAGGGGGATTGATGAACATGATGCAACGAGGTTCGAAGGATGTCATTCACACCAAGTTCCTTTGGCTAGATACCAAGATCCAGTTCCCAGAGAAGTGGATTTTTACTCGCGAGTCTCTTTAGTTTTTTTGCTTTCTTTAATTAAATTATAGGACAACCTTTTAACACTTATCGCATTGTTCAACTTCTGCGGTGGAAGTGGAAGCGGCCCCGAATATAGAAGATTGGTGTCCAAGATTCTAAAGGTATCCACCAATTTTTTGAGAAAATAGAAAAATATTGTGGCAGAACTGGGAGGCATTTGAGCATAGTACCATGGTAAGATTTTCTGAGGTCTTGCTATTTTGTATTCCTCCTTTATTTTCGTTATTTCTAACATATCCAAATATGTATAGGTGTGGGCATCAATAAGAGACCCAAACCTCGGGCCGATTTCGTGGAAGAGGCATCTTGGATAATCCGAGAACTATTCCCCAAGGTTCCTGACAAGTTTCCTTCGTAACTATCTTCCTATGGTTCTTCGAAGAGGAATCGTGCTTCTTAGACAGAATCCCTCCCCTCTGGTTAGAGGGGGACGCCACTTAATCCATTCCCCCGGCTATGTAGGACGGTGCCACCAGAGGGTTGATGCATGCCAACCCCATCCAGGTTGACTATAGGAAGGAAATCCCTGTTCCTTTATCTATGGGCGGCTATTTCAGAGGGAGATCTAGTAGCGGAGGCCACGACAAATATAATTCCAGATAAGGGTCTATAGATAGGGTGAGTTATCTCATCCAAGAAGAGAGTTATGGCGCCCTCACGCGAGCAATTGGTTCAGCCTTCCCAAGCTGTCCCTTCCACCGAAGAGGTGAGTTCTCAAGGGGGTGCAAACGAGGTGGTTGCACACACCGGTGAGGGTCCCATTATTTCTGCGGTCAATACTGCTAACCACCGTCTTATGAGTTTTTTGGTGCCGAGCAGGTTCAAAATGTTCAAGGAGCCTAAGCATGTTGATGCTCATCTTTCTTAGTTGGCGAGTCCCCAAGACTGACAACCCGTGGGGTCTATGACTATGGAGGTCGTAGTGACTCAAATGGCTTATGAGCTATACGGGTAAGTTTTGTTGGAACCCTTTTTATTTAATTTTTCCGGTCATTAATATGACACATTATTTCCCTTTTGCAGCACATTGTGCTTACTTCAGGGACCTTAAAAAACATTTGAGAGGGCGTGGCTATGTCCAAGGAGGTGGTGAGGTATAATCGAGCATTGAGGGCCGAAAACGAGAAGTTCAAAGAATAAAGGGGATCCTTTTTGGCCAGGACCGAAGCCGTGGAGAGGAGTGCCTAGAAAGGATGGCTGAGTTTTCGGAGAGTGAGGCGGCTCGACTATCCTAACTCAACAAGGGCAACTATAGGCTTTTTGTTTCCCAAATCGAGTCTTGAAAGCATATGAGGAGGTTCGATTGAGGGAAGAGTGTTCCCGTTTATCAGCCGAGATATAGGGTTTAAGGTCGGAGTTGGCCTTGACTGAGAAGATATCCCGGGCCAACAACACCGATCGGGAAACCCTCCAAGTGTCTTTCAAAGACTTGCAGAAAGAAGTGATCGTAAGATAAGCTTGGGCCATCAAAGAGACTCGCTTGCACACTCTTCATGAGGTTCACACTATTGCGGTGGATTTTCAACTTGAGGTTCCCCAATTAGAGGAAGAGGCAAGGGCTCTTGGTCGATGACTTTGTCTCCCCTATGCGGATATGCGAGGTCTTACCTATGATGAAGATAAGGTGAGGACGATATTGAAGATGACAAAGTGGGGGAAGTGACTCCTATTCCCGATCAGCCGGTCCTTTCTGGTGCTGTTGATACGAATTCTCCCTCTATTTCCGGCACAAATGTCAATGATTAGTTATAGTTTTAGGCTTTGGATTTTTGTGCTTCTTTTCTGTTCCATATTTAGGGCCCTTTGTACAAACAGAATATTTGATGTAATCCTGTTTGTTCCTTCAACTATTTTTTCTGTATTAGTGTTATAGGTCATATAGGCTTCGAAGCTTTTAGACTTGATCACTTTTGGGATGATTGCACAGTATCGTGATGAGCCTCATTTTGGTGCGAAAAAGGATGACGTGTCATCCTATTTGGGCACAAGAGTGAAAATATGGTCTCATAAAGATTGTAGATTCCTTCTATCAAGAGCTGAACAAATATATATATATATATAT